GAATCTTAATAATGCACAACAAATATTGTTAAAGTTACTCTTTGATAAGAAAATCGTACGTTTAAATCTTCTGATTTTGAGAGCTTATAATGAAATTCCTTCTTCATGGAAGAAAAAGAGCAAACTAGACTGCTCCTCAGTCTTGACTACCGCATATTTGCGGTGAGATTAAACGTTTCTGTATTCTTCTATAAGGGTCGCCAAACTTTTATAAGTCAAACTTGGAGATAAAACTATTAAACTGTATGTTCTCTCTCCTCTCTCTCTCTCCCTCTCTTTCTAGATATTGTCAGACGAAGTATTACATTGTGAATGTTTTATCAACAGAGTTTCGAACTCTCCCTCTGCAAACCAGTTACTTTCAGAAAGATGTTACAAACTCGGCGAAAAAAAATGTAACTTAGCTTTTTTCAGTAAGAGGATCGACACGGATATCGCATTTTTACAACATTTTTTAGAAATGTAAATGTTATATTAATATTTTTCAAAAATATAAATATTATATTCAACTTACGAAAAAAAATTTTAATATGTATATGAAAGCATACAACAAATATTTTACTTTATCTTATGAAAACATATATTCTACATTTATTGAACATATATGCTGTTTTAGTATTATTTTATGTAACCTGGAGAAATATTTCCTGAAATTAGCGACAAAAATAAAACGGAACAAAAAATTAAATTAATGAAAGTTGATTTATTCATTCGTAAATATTTCGCTAATGCGAAGGAAATAATTAACTGAATCGTTATACATCACTATAACATCTGTACATCAATAATGCATTGAATTAGTACATTCAATGTTCATGAAAGGACCGTTCATTTCAACTCGTTGTACGTTCGAGTGAAATCGTTTTAGTGCAAGGAAGATGGCAGTATCTAATCATCTTCGACGACATTATCTGTATTTGTCGTTGGATTTAAAGTGAGAAAGAAAGAGAAAGAGTCTGTTAAGGAAAAAAGAGAGGATAACAAAAAAAAGAAAAAGAGAGAAACGCTTCATTTGAAATCGACAGCGAAAAGTATAGCTTTGTTTGAAATCGACAGAATTAAACAGTGCAAACCATTAATCAATGCAAACCTGATTAAGAGTCGTGATACGCCTATTTCTCTGCCCTATCCTATATTCTTTCCTCTTCTATCCCTCTCTCTTTTTCATGAATCTCTTGAGAGGAATTTTGGGATTTAATTTATCTGATTTACTCTTTTTTTATACTCATCATGCTGCTTCATAGTGATGTAATTGAAACATTCCTCAGAATTTCGTCGAATAATTCCAACTACAGCAAATTATGAACAAGGATTTTTGAATGAGCAAAATATTCTCTTGAAAATTGAAACTTATAATGATCAGATTTGTAATTATATATTGCTTTATAATCTAAGAGAGAAAAATAAAATAAAATAAAATATATATATATATATATATATATAATTTTTTTAAAGAATATAATAGAGATGGATTTAAAAATGAAAAATTGTATTACACTGTATATGTTAATTAAAATATGAGATACTGCGTACTAAAATAATTTTAAAACTTATTTTCTGAAGTAAATCGAATCATAAGAATTTTCACAAATAAAATTTTTCTGGCTTCAACAGACGGTTGCGACTTCACAGTTTTTCCGGATCGTCGAAGATGATTCTCGGATGTCACGAGAAGCATTTTTGCAGCTTTTTTGCAGAAAAAAGATTGTGTGTGAACGGCAAAGAGATTTCCCACTCTTCTCAGGGTCATGGGCGATGCCATCGAGGAGATTTACGACCACGAAACATGGTTTATTTTTTGGAGCAATTCAGCAAAAATTCATATACTGACATATGTATAATGCGATTTATGAGTTTTCATGATATTTTTATGTTTGTTAACATTGTCCATTCATTGTTCCATTACATGGAAAATTTATGATCAAATTTTTTTCGTTTCGCATTTATTAGTAATGTTAGCCAGAATATATAATATTATTTTTTTGCTTCTCTTTTTAACTATAAATTAACTGAAAAATCCTAATATATAGAGAGATATAAGAAATATAAGATTGTAGCACTTTACAGTTCGTAATATCACATTACATATCGCATTCATATCAATACCAATAATAATATCTATGACGTAAATACGATAATTTGAGCGTATAATTAAAATTAATATTTGCTCAGAGAGAGAGACATAAAATGCACGCTCCAACGACCTGCATTTTAGATAACAAATACAAAAACAACTATTTAGATGGTATCAAAATAATGCTGAGAAGGAAGAATAATAAATATTGCGTCAAAACAGCAACAGGAAAATATAAATATGAAATGAAAAAATATAACATGTATATTTTTATACAGTAATGTGGAGCAAAAGAACTAGTACTTTGCAAAAATACTGCTATTTTTTGGCTTTCTGAATACAAGAAAAATTTTTTAAATGTTCTTTTCGCGAATCTTTCGTTTTACATATCATTTTAGTTGCCTGTAAAAAATATTAAAATAATAAAATTAATGATAGATTACTGATAGATTAAGATAAGAAAAAGAATTTATATATATATATATATATATATATATATATATATATATATATATACATATATATATGTACATCTTTGAAAAAATTTTAACACATCTAAAAAATAATTTTAAATAATATTTTACTCCACTTTGATATGTTTTTAGAATAATGTTTTAATAATGTTTTAATAACGAGTTTTCAATATACATTTGTTTTTTGCTACTTTTTATTTTGACTTTAAAATGTGTAATTTAAATTCTATAGGAAATAATTTAACATTTACAATTTACAGCTTACTACCATGTTACGATTTTATAAAATGTGTTCTTTTTAAGTGCCTTTATTACATAAATATTTTCATAATGGAGCATGCCAACCACTTTGCTTTAGTATATCGAATATATTCCTCTTTGCTTCGTAGCGATTAAATTATTTGTTTTGATGAATTTTATTCATTTATATTTATTGTAGCTTGCCTTGTTTGTTAAAAAGTTATTATGCGATGTTGATAAGATTTTTAATGATAATTATTTGAAAAAGTCTCATATACATTTTACGTCTATTTTATAGTGTATAGTTATATAGTGTATTAAATAAAATTTGCACATATAAGTTTTTTTTTAATTTTAACAAATTATGATTAATATTAAAAATATGTCAAATATTTAACAGAATATAATTGTATGTATACTGATTAATAGTTAAACAATATCTGAATTAATTAGATGTATAATAAAAGGATTATTTAATTTTTTTATTCTATTACAAATATTCCAAAATATGTGCGGATACTTCAAATTTATTTGTAAATATATACAATGTATGTCAGTTACTATTTGCATAAGGCAATTAAGCATAATTATTATTTCTGCACAAATAATATTAATATTCATATAAATTTAAACAAATTATGTATCGCTTCATCAGCCATAAATATATTATTTATCTCACAGCAAAGAGATTATTATTGCTCTCGATAAATAAAATTGCCATTATTCATATTCACGGCTTATAGCATGCTATGACATATTCAGGACGAGCTTAAGTATAAAATGAGTTCGCAGTAAAGGAAGATGTCGTCTTAGATCGTCCAAGTTAATCTTAAAACACGTCAAGTTTATTTTACTCTGATGGTTTAGGGAGAAAATTTTATAGTTGCATTTTATGCATGAATGTAGCATAAAATGTGAGCCTTATGTAAAGTTTATAACTTTCTCAATTATAAACTTCGAATTCTCTAACACTTCCTCGGTTTTGTCAAATTTAGAGTTATCGTGCGTCGTTCATCTTGTCACTTAAAATGGCTTATGTCGTGATCTCTCATATATTCTACTAGCTCTGTTCTGCATCTATGTGTTTAATGTCTAACAAATGTTGCACGATCTTGTTGGCTTCTGTTTTGGATCGGGAGAGTTGCTGATGCCGCGTCAAGGAGTTGAAGCACGTTTCGACGAACATCACGTTGTCTTCGCGAAAAGAAATGCGTAGGCGGTATTAAAGATTAGACAGGAGTAACTGGATGATAAGTCTAAACCTTCGTTCTCAGGAACATTCTTTAATTATAAAAACTTTGAAGATTGATCCCAAAGGTGATTATTTTTAACATTTTAACATTTTTAATAACGATATTTAAGTATGAAATTTATAACATGCGACGAATTAGCATCGCATTCGAACATCTTTCATGATAAATACTTATTTATATTGAACCATATGTGAGGAGTTAAATTAATTTTGCATTTACATATTTTAACAATAATTTTGATTATAGTGATTATAGTGATTATAGTGATTATAGAAATTGTAAAGAAATTCTGTTATCTTCATAAAATAATTTAATTAATCTGATTCCATCATGAGAAATTAGGATATATAATTGTGATATTTTGGTTGCGTGTATGTGTTTTACTTTCCGTTTTATAATATCAATTATTAGAAAATTTATATTAAAGATATCTCGAGTTTATCTTTGGCATATGTCGACAGTAAATAAGCGGAAACATAATCGAAACATTTTAATATTCGAAAATGATTCGGAAACATTTCAATATTAAACTCGAAAGAGAATAATTAATTGCATTAATGTAATTTAACATTGTATATATATCAATGTAATTTAATATTGTATATATAATATTATATATAATGTATTTTCAATTATTTTTTAAATTTCGCAAGCAAAAAATTTAAAATTATAGCAACAAATTTATAATAAATTATCACTTAATGTTATATATCCGAATATGATTTCTCATAGATGAATAACAAAAATAAGAATGAATAACAAAGATTTTGAAAATTGAAGCAGTTTTTAATCTATTATTATACGTTTGTAATGAATTAAAGATGAGATAGATACATTATTAAGAAAATATTGAACTATCGCACGCTGTTTTGACAAATCATGCTGTTAGATATGCTGACAATGAAAATGAATATTATGAATTAATACTTCAATTAATGCATGAGTTATTTTCTCACTCACCTTCCATGGTCATATTATCTCCGAGCTTCTTTCATTTCAATAAAACTGTTTTTTCTTCTGTACGTTCACGCGGCGCTCATTAAGCGCCCGTGAATAGGATTGGTTGGCTGTGATTGCCCAATCTTCATTTTTTCTCGCTTCTTCACTTAATCTTTGATTCTAATGATTTAATTACTTTGTCGAACGTTTATCCGCGGATACTTATCGATTTATCGCGAACACTTAACACTTTTGCGCGCGGACTTGAGACGAATTTTAATTAACGTTTCTCCTCGGATTTGTAAATCGAGCAATTCTTTTTATTACTAAACTCATTGTCGAATGGTTCTTTTTTTGATTTTTTTTTTGCCCAATAAAGTTATCGCTTTTCAAGATTAGCTCTCTGAATTCTTCGTGCCGAGCACGTTTAGGATCTATCGTCGATAATCTCTGGAAGGGATGCTTCGTTTGTTTCTGAAAAAGAACAAAATAGGCGTGCATTAAAGTTTTGATATTGATTATCGAGAGATTATAGAATTTAAAACTCATGAAAAATTAATTTAAAAATATTGATTGTATAATAAATTATTTTTGGAAAACAAAACGTGCTTAATGTTTAAATGCTACGTGCTTAAATGCTTTGTAATTATATTTAAGTTATGTATATATAATTCCTAATTTTTTAAAACTGTTCATTGTATTTGTTAAGACAATATAATACAAATTTTAAAGAGTAACTGTCTTTCGTAAGGATTGATAAACTCAAGTAAACAAGATCATAACTACAATACAATAATTCAGAAATTTCATATGCACATTTATATCGGATATTATTCAAAGTTAAAGATACATAGCTATTGACCTTTTGAGGAGGATAAGAAGTTGATTTATAGTAAGTGATGCCGCAGGTGTTTTGGAAGAAAATAGATGCATCGACAAGATAACGTTATTGCATTTGATATATCAGTGTCATGAAAGTTATAGAGAGAAGTTAACTGTTTTCCTGCCTTGCTTGTTTATATATAATGCGGCAGTTAGACGGACACTGTCACATTCTGCAACCTTTGCAATGGAAAGGAAATTTTCAATGGAAAGTGCAAGGCTGCATTTCCTGTTTTGTAGAAATTAATAATATCGCAGTTATTTCTCTCTTATCTTTAAATAAATTACACGCATATTAAAAATTAGATAGGAATGAAAAACATTTCGACTTTAATCGTTCCATTCTTTCGTTCGCACTAGCAGATCGATTCTACGAGTTCTATTTCGATTATCATAATCTAATTAAAGTATTTATGCCAAGTGCATATTGTAGTAAAGTTAAGTCGAATAGGTCGCGCTATACGCATATTACGTAACCTGTCGGAGCACCTGAGGATTGCTATCCCTACGTGTTACATGATCTTCTCGAATGTATTGAGAAGCATAGCACGATGCAATTGTGTTCCGGTAATTCCAGCGTGTTCCTGCCACTAGATGCACAATCCTATCTCGTATCGCGTTCGTAACACGAGATTACGATATACTCGCTCCATAGTGATTATTATCTTGGAATTAATATTTATCGGTGCCAATGGTGTGTATAAAAAATGCATTATCAAAAGTTATTAATCAAGAATATCAAAACGTTTAATGAAATAATGAAAATAATATTAAATGCATAAATAAAGAAGTTTATTCAGGTACATTCCACAATATTTTTGTCGAGACGATTTCAATAGATATTTAATTCAATTTTTTTTATATGACATTATATATAGTAGCATAAATAATTGTTAGTTGATATTACAATTATAATAAAGACTAACGTATTTGGAATATATACATTATTATATAAATTATAATGAAAATTGATAAAATTTAACAAATAAATTTATTAGGTAACATTTAATTCTTTGCAGAAGATTTTGCAAATATAAACTAGCAAAATGTTGAGAGAAATTATAAATTATGAAAAATCAATGGACATTTAGAGCCAGTCATAATTCTCTCTGGCGCTTTTGCATCTAATAGCTTTACTTATTGTTGGTATATTAGATTACTGTGCAGCGTTAAACTGGAATGCTGCATTATTCTTGTTTATGGAAATAGAGAGAGCGAAATATCCACATAAGTGGACAATAAACATAATTCACATATTTATCTTTAAACCACAGAATCACAATGGCTGTCCTACTTTCGAATCACACACACACACGCGCGCGCGCACGTGCGTGTGTGTATATATATATATTCTTCGATTCTCAAATACGGTAAAAAAAGATTTTGGATTAATTAACGTTTGAATAATAGACCTCACATAGATTGTAGTTTTAATTTCTTTTTGAGTATAATATTTATTCTTCTAACTTCAACAAAAAAATAATATTAATTGTTCTAATCTAACTGTCTTTTTAAAGAATATTGTATTGGTTTTCCTGTAAACCATTTTGTGATATTTTAATTCTTATTTTTCTATTATATAATATAATGAGTCCGTATAAATAAATAGCTATGACATATAATGAGTCCGTAAAAATAAATAGCTATGACATTTTCAGCAAATTAGAACGATATCTAATAAATAATAAATATTTATACAATATCTTGCTTAAAAAAGCTTATTTTTTAATAACAGTTATGCTCTTTTATGGAATAATCGAAATGAAAGCAACATAGTTAACAATCTTCACGTTAGAATTTTACGAGAAATTTCTATGATGCTATACCATTTGAAGAGTATTTCAAGAACAAGATCTGAAGATTCACAAATGGAGTAAAGTTTCCTTTGCTATCTTGCAATATATGTTATAATTTTAAAATATTTAAAATTTCTACAGAATATATAAGACAGAACATTTAAGATTTTCATCAAAATAGTAAGTACAAATAGAGAGACTCCCAATTTTGTCATTGCTTATGTAAATCCCTTTGGGCGTTATACGTATCAAAGGACCAAATCCGTTTGCCTCTTCACTCGTCTACTCTCGACTTTACTTTGATGTACCGACGGCAAACTATCGCTTCGTAAACAGCTGATGCAGCATTTGGTGTGATACAGTGGAACTCTATTTCCACATTTCGCTTTTGGTGAATTTACGCCGTTATCTGCAATTATCTTGCAAGCGCGTATTTATTTATTCAGTCCTTTGCTTCAGTCTTCGCGCAAATTATTAATATAATGTGTTTAACTATATATCATGAAGAGAAAATTGAGAAATGATTATTTAAGAATTAAATGTCAGAACTGAATATTTTACAATTTTGATTTCATAAGCAAGATTAGACGTAAAACGAAAATTACAGTAATAGCACAGAAATAAAAATAATTTTTATTTTTTAAGATAAAATTGAAAGTAAACAAAAAATATAAATAATAATGCATTATATATTTTTTAAATATTCTATTTTAAATATACATTTAAAATTTGCAAATTTTGATGCTAAGATCAGTTTTATTATCAAGAGGGGAAAGAAAGATTTTTATATGTATATATGTATATATATATATATATATATATATATATTATATTGTATGTGTATATATGTATTACGAGTCTCTTTCATATATATTTAAATAGATGTAAATTTAGTCATCTAGAAATATCGAAATTGAATATATCCATAACTTTACATTGCTATCAAACATAAATTTATATTAAATATTAAGATATTATTATACTAGAAAACATGCATAGGAAAATTTTATCAACAGTTGCACTTGTGTTAAGTATCAGAATGATTATGTGTGGAGTTATAGAGTTTGTTATATAGTCATCGCGTCAGTATACAATGATACCTGATGATGGAAATGGTTACAAAGAGATAATCGAAATTGGCAACATATATTTAAATGAGAAGTTTACGTCATGGCGATGCGAAGCGCTATAGAATTCGATTGCGCGCATACTATCATGTGTTAAATTAGAGAAAGGGTCGAGTTTAAAGAGATAGCTGTACGCCCATTTTCAGAGCGGATGCATGTGCATATATATATATATATATATATATATATATATTTCGACCGTGATATATATATATATATATATTTGCCCGTGGTTTGTCTCATGCGGTTGCATTACGTGCCCCCCAGCTTTGACATAAACGCGGCTTCTGTAAGTATGCATTTGCAACCTCGAATAATTCGTATTGCTCAATTCCCAATCACATTCCCAAACACAAAGAGCTACAATAATATATCCTACAATTACGCAATATTGTTTCAAAAAACTAACTTTGTAAATTTTTTGATTGAAAATAATGATTTTTAAACTCTTCATATAAATGTAACTGTTCTTCCTTTGAATTTATTCGATTAATTTAATATCTTAAAACATTTATCATTTTAAAATATCTTACAACTTTAATTTATAAAAAGACAATTGGATGTGTGCAATTGTGATTAATCGCAATAGAGATATAATAATTTTAATTTTATTTTTTAGATGATACATTCAATTATGATTTTAGTCGAGATATAATAGTTTTAATTTTATTTTTCAACGATATATACACATATGCAATTTTGATTTTAATTGAAATACGAAATCGATGAATGAACCTAGTAGACTTATTCTAGCAAAATAATAGAAGAAAGGACGAATTGAAGTATGAATGTGGAATATGTGGAGAATAATGAATAAGAAAAGAGAGCCACGTACATTCAGATACGGACAAGTGAAGAAAAATGTATACGTGGAAAGTCCAAGTTTACATGTACGATGCATGGCAATACGTGTGTCCCAGCCGGCTGTGCTCTTGCTTCTGGCTCTATCGATTTAGGACGACTCTACGTAACCGCGACAACCAGTCGACTTGTGTATACGGCCTCTTTCGTGTTATGCCCATCCTTTATTACGCAATCATAAAAAGCGCTTAAGACTTACGATTACGATATTTAATTATCGTTTTTCCGAACCTTAATCGCACTGTTTTTATTTCGTTCTGCCTTGTATCTGCTGATAAATTGACTTACGTGCGGTTGAAAATAAATTGATCATACCAATAGCAGAATTTTTTGAATTATTGCTATAAGTTTTTAAATTATTGCTGCGATGTATCTCTCATGAGAAGAATTAATTAACAAAAACACGCAATACATGTAATAGTGGATCGATATGAGTTGAATAATGTACGTATCATCTTCTGCGTCTCGCAGTAATGTGTGCTGGCAATTCCTCTCACGAACTGTAATAAACTCTAATAAGATTTAATCGGTTACAGTTCTATGCATGGTAGATTCTTATTACAACACTCATTATAAAGTTACACGTGCAATTTTGTACAAGGATTGTCTCAAGATAAAACACGCGCCAAGAGAGATGATATGAAAATATAAATGTCCTTGACAAAATCGCTCTTATCGATTTTCCCAAGCATCTTATTTGATTGAAGAGCATAAGCACGTTCTTTTGAAGATGCGGAAGTTCACTTTTCTCACGATATCGCCATTTGTTGAACATAAATTGAAATATTATACTTATTTATAAAATATTATACTTTCATTATCATTAAACATTGATAAAAGTGTTTATAATATGTTTTAAAAAACAAAATATTATCTACGCAATATTGTTTTTGAAATTTTAAGACGAATCCTTCCTAAATCGAAGCAGAATTTTTATATTAAAAATTCAATTAAAATTAAAATTTAAAAGGGTTTCTTATAAAATAAATTTTAAATTATGCAAAACATAATATATCGTTAATTTGATGTTTAGTTACAAATATATTTAATAAAAAAAATTTTTTTAATTGTAAAATAAAAATAAATACGTTTTATCTTTTAAGCTACACAATTAGCGATAATAATGATTTTCTTAGAATTCTAGATTATAATACATCGGATTATTTGGAAAGTTTTCTAATCTTTTTTCAATGAAATATATAAAATAAAAAGAACTATAAATAATTAGAAAAATTTTCCAACTTATTATTTTCAATGTTTTCGCCTTTGATACATTGGACAAGTTTTACAAGTAGATTACCAAATTATTTTGTTTCGAAGAGAAACTCGTGATATAATCATTTTAAACCTCCGATTGTGCGTTGCGAAATTCTGTGCTACAAACTTGTCGAGACTTCCTATATAAACGGGGAATTATGCGGGCGCCCCTAATATATATAATCCTGCTTGCCTCGGATAATAACGAAATAACGAACACGAAGGGCCAAAGTGGCGTCAGCAAAGTGGAGGGATGCGACGCCTACGCGAATAATATTGTGTTGATAAAGACGAGATGTTGACGAGACATGATTGACTGATTAAGTGGTAATTGGACACACCTATGTTAGATCGCGATGAAGATCGAATCGCACAATCCGAAACTGAGAGGGATTACACCACTTCTCTGATTCGTCATTCATCGCCACCGCATAATAACGTTGCGTAATCGAGCCTGCAATATGCATCGAGTCTATTATACCTCTGAGCATGCATATAGGAAGAACGTATTCCTACGAATCTAATTATGTGTTTAATAATAAGCGAAATAATTATGGCGGTAAAATATCTATCAAAGATGATTGAATTTGTTATATATACGGAAAGTTCCAAAGGAGGATATAATAAAAGTAAATATGTATGTATATTTCACTTAGAGTTTAGAAAAACCATTATATCTCTTACCACAAATTCGAGAAATCATTAAAAAAATGACTACTTTATTTTAATAAATAATTTCATTTTTTGTAAAAATAATTTTATTTAACAGATATTAGTGAGACAGAAGCGTTGCGATGCTAAAAAAGAAACAACAAAGATGACATCAAAGTTGACTAATAGCTTCCGTGATGCCAATCGCTGTTTTTCAATTATTAATGAATTGCATCATGTAGCTTGTTGTTATGGTAAATGTCAAACAGAAATGAGTCTGTTAGTAAAGTAAAACGATTGTATGCATTTTTATGTTTCAACGTAATAAAATACAATCGTTTTATTTTACTACTGACAGCATTATTTGAAATTCTGTTTATGGAAGAAAAAAAATCAGAATATTAAGATCACTTGAACTCCAAGTCAATCATTAATTTAAAGTCAAAATGTGTATATTGGAAAATATGTGTATTGAAGTAATTAGGAATAACAGCTAATTGATATGAAAAAGCAAAAGAGGAAAAAAGAGTGTGTTAGGTTTGAGATATAATTTGTTCATTGAAATAAGAAAATTCTTCTAATACACACATCTTTCTCTCTCTCTTTCATTTACATTATATTAATTTTATGATCTTTTATCACTATATAAATTTTATAAATATATACAAACATTGTAATATACGCTATAACATTATAATATACACTATATGAATATATGCAAACATTATTGAATATAATTATTTTAAAATGATTTTCGACTTATTTTCTTTGATTACTATTTATTATATTTCAACTTCCAAGTGGAAATATTTGGGTTTTTTATCAGGAAAGATCATTAATTTGCTAATCAAAAATTTATGAATTGGCTCGCTAACATTGATAAATAAAAATAAAATAACATTGGTAAATAAATATATAATGATAATGATAATATTACCTCTCTTTAGAATATATAGAAAATGTGTATGTTAATTTGTGTTTGTGAATTTCATTCACAATTTTATCTAATTTCTTGTTTTCATTCATTTTGAGTTTTCGAGAATTTTCATCTTAATCAGATTTACAGTAAGCTTTCTAATGAGATTGCTAAATATACAGAGCTAAATAAAGATTATTTAATAAATAGCACAAAAACAAGATGTTAGATATATCTCGTTCTAATTACTTAAATTTATATAACCAGGTTTTAAAAAAATTCTTGCTTGTCATAATTTTAATGAAATTACTGGAGTTGTTTTTACATTAATAGATGTACATTACACACATTACAAACACATATATGTATATATTTTTTAAATTATTTGTTTGATAATTTTTCCTTAATAAAAATGTTGATATAAAATATTTATTGTCAAATTTGGAATATTTATATGATATTCTTTTTAACGCCGATTTTCTTTTTGCGCACATTCTCGCGATGTGAACAATATATTACGTGAAAGATATTACGCAAATTTCATCTACAGAAAATTCCCACAAAGTAATATTCGTCTCTATTCAATCCACTGCACCATTTCATCATTTCAGCTCTAGCATTCTTATGAATATAATAAGAATTATTTTTAATGTGTAAATTTGCATTTTTCATAAATTATACTTGTATAATATAATATAATATTTATTTTAATTTTAATCTTTCTTGTGCAGAAAATAAATATTCTTATTAAATAAAGTGAATATTTTCTTATTGATAAATATAATAAAAAATTAAATTATGAGTTTTAATATCATATGAAAAGAATCAACTTCTATCTGATATTAAAACTTTTAAAATTATGACAAATTGGCTATATATTTAATGTATAAAATAGGTTTAGCTATAATAATATATAAGTTTACAGAATAAATTAAAAAAATAAATTTAAGTAGAAGTAATTTATATATTTATATCTACACATATCACTACTAAATTTTAATTTAATTTTTATTGAATTTATCAGTTTTTAAAAGCTAAAATAAAATGTAGGAAGTCTTATTAGTAAAAGTACGCGAGTAAAAATAACAATGAAATTTTTTTGTCCAGTTTAGTACAATTCAACGCAGTTTTTAGTGCTAGCAAAAGAGCGAAATTCACTTCAATTAAAAATTCTATTCGTAGGAAAGAATAGTAGAGCGTATTTTTTAAGGACGATAACAATGTTATCAGCTAAAAGCATTGCGAATTTTAGTCAGTTAATTGTGCATTGTTCATTATCAACATAAGCAAATGATTGTAAAATACGTAGCATCAAGGTAGCAATGTGTATAATATTGTATATTTTGCTATAATATGATAACAGTATATTAAATATACAAGATATATAAACAATATAATATGATTTTAATTGGCTTAACTTTTTCTAGATTTTAAATCGATTTAACGATTAACATTTTTTATTTAGTAGAAAGTTTTTTAATATATAGTAGTTATATATATATGTATATATATATATATATATATATATATATATATATATATACATGTGTGCATTCATATTCATGTGTATTTATAGTTTGTGCATATAGTGTAGTTTTTTTCTAAAGAAAGATTTTGCTTTCTCATGTTATATTTTGCAGCAATTGTTGAAAATAAGAGCACTTTACGAAATTATTGTTTTATGCTACAAAGTGATTTAGCAGCTTTCAATTTCATCTCTTGCGCTCTTTTATGATTGTGCTTTATCATATATGAAAAGGAGGCCAAATGTAAAGTTCAAAGTTAAGAGCTTCTTCATGTAATAATCCTGGGAAGTAAACTAGCTCAAAGAATAAAAAACCTATTTTATACATTTGTCCTTATTTCGAGTTAATAATATAAATTAATGTTTTGTTTTTCTTAATGTATATAGACTAGTGATAATTTAATTTTTTGAACAAAGAAAATGCTTTTTAATGAAGAAACAAAACATAATTTTTATCGATCGCGAAATACTGACAAATGAAATGAACGTGTTTAGATCAAATAAGATAACGAATTAAAAATGACATGTAGGAGAGTTGAAAAATGCGTGTTACAGACAGGAAGCATGGTTAGCAATAAGAAGGATGACGTGAGATCCATATTTAGAATACATGGGATTGACATACTACATGGAACCAGTTGCAATGTAAATTGGCGATAACAATGTCTCTGATAATGTCTTTATTAATGTCGGATTTCCGTTATACACACCAGCTGAAATAACTAGTAGTATATTTAGTATTAGGTTTATTGAATGAAATCGAAAGAAGAATAAACGATCAAACAACTTTATATAAATATTAATTTCGAGACGTTTTATTCACACACGCGTTTGTTTCCTTAGATTTTGAAAAGGAACATTCTTATATTAAGATATGTGTCATATAAAAAATTTTATTTAGAATTTATTTGGATGAATGCTATATGAAAATTGACTATAAAAGAAGAGAAGTGCATATATTAGAACGAATTTTTAAGATGCAATCTAATATTTACATGCGAAAAGAGAGAATCATTGATGCACAATTAAAGTGGGTCTTAACAGCGATATTAAAATTTTCATGTACGATAAGAGCAAAAGTGACAATATGCTTATAGTTTAACTTAATTTTACGTTACATTAATGTTAACATTTTGAATTTAGAAAACGTATCTAACTGCAAAGTTAATCAATCACAGTTATTTGAATGAATGTGTAATACTATTGATACAACAGATTCGTAAACAAATACGACTGTCGCGATTTACGCGTCATGCACACGTGGATATTCGTCCTCCCCTCCATAAGTCCACGCGAGAACGTGATCAAGAGTAACGATACTCAGGTAGGATCTTTTCACATATATTGCGATATTTTACTTACTCGCTATATTAGATGAAAGTAGCGGCCTCCCAGAGGAGCTTTTCTCGTTTTTCATTTTCTTCCCGCTTAATCACATTAAAAAATTCTTTCCGATAAAAATAGCGTGTCCTTCGCCGGAGACACTAATGGGTTGAAAATAATCAACGAGACTGATCGATCCCCTTTTTTCTTGCGAACGAAAGAGGCGTGTTGATTGAGAAGCAAATGTTTATGATGAAATCATAATCCTGCTCATCGTCATAGGATCGTTCGAGGAGAGAATTTTCGTGGCATCGTACTCGACGTGAGAATGCTTTTCTACGCACGCATGATCACTAATCCCCTCTTGCTTCAACTATCTCTGCAAACGTTTTTTGGCTCGAAAATAAAGTTGATAGAGAGATGGAAGTCGACAACGATCGACCGTCACCACCTGCGTCACTCGGTCGACTGACTAGCTTGGACTGACTGGACTACCTCCCCGTAAACTCAGTGATTTTATTCCATCCCCACCAGAATCTACCCGCCCCCCCTTGTGCCGCGAACCTCATAACACCCACCACCCACTCGCGATCCGAAGTCGACGTGCTCGGGGGTGCGTGAACATCGAGGGTGAAAGCAAGCCATCGCCATTGACCATATAATTGATAGTTGACCGTATCATCCAAAGATCAATTAAAGGTCTGTTCTTCACGGTAAAAATAATTGTCTGAAAACAGTATAGTTTAATGTTATTAATAGTTAAGATCTTGTCACTTGGAAAATTAAAAGTTTTTTTTTGTTAAAGTGCAATTATTTTACGGTATAATAATTTTGTTTTAAATTTATAATCGAGTTGTAATTCTAGAGATTAGTTAAGATTAAATTATTCGTTCGTATGAGTTTGTATTTAATCAAGTTTATTTGAGAATAGAAGCTACATGTTCATATATTTACTCACATTAGCTCTCTTGAAATATAATTTTAGTAGTAAAAAAAGCAGAGAAAAAAATATGTTTTTGAATATTGTGTTTTTATAGTGAAAAGTTTCAAGAGCATTAAACCGTTCAATTATTTAAATCAACTCTTTTATGTAACTAATGACTGTGCCTAATTTAAGTATTTGAAGCACTTAAAGATATTCTTATTATCTATAGAGAAATGAAACGACTTTCGTTTCCAACTTGGTTCAAGGTTGAGAGTCTTGTAATGTGCCAGCACTTGGAAAGCTTTATCTTTTTATCTCGAAAATTCTCAAATATTCTTGTCAACCAGTCAAACTTTATTCGTTCTTTTAAAAATTTATTTATCGACTATATTATTAAATATATATACTTCTTTTATATATATTTATAATTGTTTATAATTCTCTATTTTATGTATATAATTAAATTATTTTAATAATAATTTAATTATTTAATAATTTAATTACATTCTCTCCTAATGTGACTTTCAATGAAAACGAATTATCCACAAATTATTTTTCGATAAAGTTAATATAATCCATTTAAAAAGTTACAATATGTAATGTGATATATATGATACGTAATTTATTTAAAAATCTATTATATCGAAATTGTGAAAATAATGTGTTAAACTTTATAGAGTATATATAAATCAATTTATCTATAATATCTTTATAGAGTATATATAAATCAATTTTTCTACGCCTATTTACATGCTATGCGAAAAATTCTCCATGTCCGCGAACAAACTTACGTCTTCAAGTTTAAGGTCGTGTGCGGAATATCGAGATACTTACGTCATCGATTCGTTCGTTGACCCTAATTCTAAGTGATTGGGAACGTGTCGTCGTCACTTTCATGAACGGTCATTAATTCATTTGTTTGGCTCCGAAAAATCGTGCCTAATATACTTTGCCTAACATCTATCATGGTAATTATCATAAATATTGCAAAAAATTATTCTTAATGCTTTTCTAATTGTCTTTCCGACTTTTCCCCAATATTGGGACTTCGACATGATTGAATGGCTATAGAGTTTTTTATAATTTACATGCTACGCATTCCAATTTTTTTTTATATATACATTCTATCTTTATTTCGGGTTCGAAGTAATTGTGGAAGAAGTAGCACAGACACATCTGTTTAATTGCGTTACGCGGATTTTCCGCAACAGTCTCTTTCTCTATTTTCCTCCATTATTACTAATTAAAAAGTTTCGCAAGCTGCACTAACGATTCCTATGTCGTATATTTCAGTTGCACATAGTTTGGAAAAGTTTCGTTTGTGTATGTATGACGTTGGTCGGTGTGGCTGAACATTCTTAGTTTCTTGTAACAGTGAGTTTGTAGCAGTAATTGCCATTGTAATAGTTGTAGTTAATGACATTTCAATTTATTTGATATAATGATAATTGTTGTAACTATTAAAATTGAAGTTTCCAATAGTTCAAGCAATCGTTTCAATAAAGCTGATCTTTCTTGCTAGATTTTAAATTATAACAAATTGTATCTTATGCGCACATACATGTATGTATATGTGTGTAAAATGTATATAATTAGTAAATTTTTTAAATTACTCATTGTTTCTCATTCTTATTTTAGTCGTAAATTATAGCCTTGATACATGTGTTGCCTTCAATCGCTCAAAATTATGTGCTGTTATTAATGATAATCAAGAACTTCCGATAGTCTTTATTGACAATGAAATGCAAATGGTAGATGATAAAACTAGATAGATGATAACTTTGTTTTAAGTGAACAATAATCTTTGTAAGAAGATTATATATATGCAAAATATAACTTTATAATAACATTATTTGAGCTATTAAAGAGAGAGATCTTAGGAAGATTTTTCGAATGCATACATTGTAAATTACATTTTAAATACAATATTTACATTCAACATTGTCATACTTGCGATTTAATTACGTAAGAACGTAAAATTTATTACATGATAAATTCTAAAATTTAACGATAAATATTAGGCTACACGACATGCAATTAATATTAATATAATATGTACTGTATATTATTTAAAATAATTAATTTTCGAATGCACCAGTTTAATTAATTTATTATCGATATATTGTATTATTTAGAATTATGCTTGAATATTTGAATACGAAAGTTATATAAAATAAATTTATAATATACTAGTAGCGATTTAATATATAAAATTGCAATATAACGCACTGTTGACATCAGGATTAATCTATAAACGACATACTATATGTTGCAAACTGCATCGTCATACTCTCATCGATCATTGTTATATATGTGTGCGTGTGTGTGTGTTATAGCTTAACACAAGTTTGCAAGTAACGCAATATTACCTATTTATCAAAAATAATACTTCTTAGAATCGAATTAAACAATAAACACAGATTTAATCTTAATTTAAAATGACAAAAACAAACACATATGATTATTAATAGGATAAAATATATCGAAAATATCAATATATTTCAAATAAAATTTTTTTTCTACAATTTATTCTCGATTTCTGCTTATGCTCGTAGAGTATTTTTTTTTAAATTTTGACAATTCTAAAAGAGAATTAAAACGAAAAATTTGAAATTGCATTAATATAAGTAACAGAAAGAGATAGAAAAATTAAAACTTTTTTAAATAAAATAAAAAGTAAAAATTTTGTTTCAAAATAGTTGAAAATAACACGAATTAAATTTATATTACGGTCTTGAAAATCGGTTTAGGGTGGATTTTTTTATCAATTACGTGCACGAAATATTTCGTACACACACGGCGAACATCGGTAATACTAGAGATAACAACCCCGCACACAAATCAGTCATCAGTTTTTAATAAACCTCGCCTACGGAGATGTCGGCACGCGATCGCTCGAGTAACAGGCGATATTTCAGCCCGGTCGTATTACGGTTAGCAGAATTGCGTTGGGACACGAAGAGTATACCAGTCGAGGGTCATCGAGTGCGGACATCTACTACGGCGGGGGTCCGCGAGATCGGATCTCAATTTGGTAGAAATGAAATTCTTCATGGCAGAGGCTTTTTGCGCGGCACCCACAACTCAGTAAAGATCGAACTGAATCGTGGCCGCCGCTCTTTGAATTTGCGAGATACCGGATATCTTATGCATCCAATAATGCATCGTCACCCCCGCTATGTATTGCCACGCATTTTACGCGCGGTTAATAATTCCTTTTTTTCTCCTCGTTCTCTCTTGAAATACGTCTCTAATAAATCAAGGATTACGTCTTATTAAAAATTCGAGAGCTAGCCATCAAGTTATATCATTGGAAAAATTACACGAAAAAAGCGATTATATTGCAATACTGTATCGATATCATTAATATACGAAGAAATTGAAAGTTATTTTGATCCCACTATAAATTCTATGTCTTTTATCATTTATAACATATATATATATATATATATATATATATATATGTATATATATACAATAAAATAAATTTGATGCACAAATAATTATGTGTGTATAAGAAATAATGTAAATATAAATATACAAAGAAAAATCAACTTCAATGTCAATTTATATATAATTTCTCTAATATTATGAATCTGCATTTTCTTCAAGTTTGATTCAAAATCTTTTCGTTTATAATAATTTACAATAAAAAAATTACTGATATCTTTTGATATTGAAAGATTTTTCGCTTTTATATATAGCATTTTAATCTTTTTTATCTTAATTGTTTTACAACTTAACAAGTTTGAAAAATTAGCGGAATAATTTTATGATCAAAAGTTATGCATCAAAACACATTTCTCATGTAAACATGATTTTCATTCCTTGTTTATTCATTCATGTTTGTTTATACGATATTTCAGTTCGTCCTACTTTCGCCTGTAAGCTGTCGGATAATCTGTCAAGAGGCTACCAGTGGAGACTATGGCTCCAGGTCCGCCGAGAATGCCGCCCTTGTTGGCGAACCAGCCGTTACCGCCTAGGAAACCAGCCGGTTCTAATCGATTTGTATAAAAACCAGAATCATTTGGGCCTAAGAAATGCACTAGACCGCTGGGGTTAAGTAATTGCCTCGCTGTCGCATTTGGTAGCACGTTGATGCCCAGATTATTCAGTGTTTCTTTTAACAGCACCAGGCGATCTTGTAAGAATGATTGTGGTGAGAACTGGATCTTTTGCGTCAGCGGCGTTAAAAACCAAGAGAATGGGCCCGGTTTTACAATAGATGACGTTGTTACCTTGTCGAAAAAATTGATTGCATTTTACACAGAATATATTTTGACTTTTATGATGTTTCAGGATACGCGAGAGAAAAATTAAGGAAATTAGTCATTTTTTCTTTTTGAAAATTAATTAATATCACAAATCACTTGCAAAATAGAAAATTTAGGCAGGGAATATAATTGTAAATCTGAGAATCAAAAAATACAATAATATAATATCAAAATTTATCTATTTGTTATATATCTTCTTAACATATTTTAATTATTAAACATACTAACTGTATAATCATATAATCTTTGAATGCGAGTAATTGATAAATGACAAGTGAATTTTAAATTAACTAGTTAATAGAGTAAATTAATAATGTCATCAAACAGAATTTATAAATAAAAATATCGAATTATATATATTGAAAACAACTATGGCAGTCACATGTTAAAATCATAATTTATTATTTATTAAATTAAATTATAGGATATTGCTATCGCGAAAAGGTTTTGATTTCACTTTAATTATTAATTATATTTAATCAATTTTAATCGATAAAATGGCGCTTACAGGTCGTACGGTCGTGTCGATTATGATATCAGCTGCCGAGTTTGTTCCATCAATTTGCGTGGTAGCCTTTATTGATGTCTCGTTAGTCGATAAAGCAGAATTTTCTTCCACTTCTTTCAATTCGAGTAGATTCCTTTGCAAACTAGCGTTATGATCGATTTCATTGATAGATTCGTCGATTTTTGATGAATGCAATGGTTTCGTCTGTGTTATTGCAACCTTTCCACAAATTTTCATTTTTATTACAATGAATATTATTGAAGAATTGACTAAATAATAATTGTGCTCGATAATATTCCGTTTAAAAAATATTCTTGAGATCACAAAACTTGACAAAAAAAGAAATTAATATAAAAAAAATTGTATTATATTAATGTGTATATTAAGAAAATGTATATGTGACTAAAAATACATAAATATTTTAAATTATCTAAATAATTTGTCTGTCTTACGTGTTTTTTCTTTTTAGGATATTATTCATAAAATAAGAAATATGATTATAAAAATATATATATTAAAAAAAGAATATGTGCAAATATAATTTACATAAATGTTACAAATTTAGAAATGTATTTTTACAATTATAACATACGAATTGCTAATTCTGACATTGATAAATAGACATTTATCTCATAAGAGAAAGCTATTTTATAAGACTTCTTACTAAATTTAGTTGAGAAGTTCATATTATTAAGGCTTATAATTTTTGAATATCTTACCGCCATAAGTAGCATCCATATTAACGCAGGCACTTTTACCATTATTGCAAAGAGTCTAATGAAGAAATTTTGCCCTGTGTAATTTATTCTTGCGACGTGAAATATGTACTGGTTAGGACTAAAGCAATAACGTACTTGACGCTGTCTATATATGCTGTTTTACGTGTAATAAGTAGAACCTAATCGCATAAGGGCGCCCACATGAGCATGTTATGACGGCAGTTGCAATCACACTAAATATATCTTGCTAAAACAAACTACGAGGAGAAGTGCTGTTGTTACAACGGTATAATTCCAACTTCATTAAATATTAGTATTTGCATAATACTGAGTATTAATTAAAACAAATATTTTACATGTATTGTTATGACAATATTATTATTAAGAGAGAAAATTTTATTGCATTATAAAATTGTAGGACAAAAAAGTTATATTTTAATTGCTTGTTTTTTTTATTTAGAATATTAATGAAAAAATTTTTATATTTCAACACAGCTCTTGAATTTAGATTAGTCTCTCTATACGTAGATGATTCTAATAAACTTTTATATTACGAATAGAAAAAATGTTGCTATAGTTGCGAACGCTATAAGACAGCAATAATTTCGAAGTCGTGAAACAGCATGTGAGTTTGAAAAACCGGTCAGATCATATATTTTTATTGTTCTGAAACGATATGCCATAACCAACTCTCCTTGAAAGAGTTGTTTTTGATTGAGAAATTTTATTCTTATTGGATCGTTCTCGCGAAATCATCGAGAATGAAGGTCGGAATTCAATTATAGCTAATTTAAAGCAGACAAGAATATCCAAATGCAAAATAATTTAACAATAGTTTATAAAAGAACGTGTAAAAGTTTTCATGGACTTTTGAAAAAGAATATTTTAAAAATTATTAATATAAGAAGATGATGAAAAATAAAAAACAGAAAAAGAGCTATTATAAATTACTTGATTATAGAAAGTTTGATATAGCTTTGTTGTCGAAAAGTCTTGTGATTTTTTCATATTGAAATGTCTAATTTTTATCATAGTTGCTAATTCGATGAAAAATTGAATCTATACCATAAGGAAAAAGCTATTAGAACATGATGAAAGAGACAACTCTGTTAAAGGCAAAAAAGATGATAGTTTTATGAAGTCCGAAGTTGATTAAAACAGAAAATGAAAAAGTGATTGCAGCCATAAGGATAATTGAATGTATTATGGATAACGATAGGAGTACATGTGCAAAATGTAAATACATACATATTTTCATTACGTAAAAGTATTTGCTAAAAATTTTATTTGCTATTTTGATTTTTTTTATGCTGCTTTTACTACTATTTCATTGAATTTTATTTTACTGCTATATAATTGATATTGATTTCTTAGATATACATTTTAGTTATTTTTCAAAATTAGTTATAGTTTATCAGTTATTATTTAATAATGCAGCCAATTAAACAGATGCTACTTAAATTTGTTTTCTTAAAATCAAGAAGTTATCATGAAGTTATGTTATTTCTCTCTCTTTTCCTCTTTCGAATTTATTCTATAAAGTTATCTAAATTTTTACATCTTAAAGATTATTGCATTTTGACATATACATATATTCAGAATGATATTATTTAAACTACATAAATTACTCCATTAATCTGTAAATGAAAGTAAATGCAGATTTTAAGGTATATCAAGATATTCAGATCAGAATGAATGCATAGAGGAAAATACTTTTTATATCGACTTTTTGTCTCGAGACGTGAATGATATACTGATGACGATTTACAATTAGTCTAGACGTCACGGTACAACTTATTAGTGGCCGGTTCACGGCCGCGTGTATTAAACGACACGTCACGCAATTAACAATTCTGCACAGAGAACCACTCGTTTATATATGCGATCGCGTAAGAATGTAGAGGTGTGCGACGTCGAGGACGACCTGGGACCGTTATGAGTCTTTTCGATACCAGTCTCGTCTTAACGGTCGCTCGAGAACCTCGAGATTATATGTGAAAATCACCAATTATTCGACGGTTGTCTGTAGCTTCGAAAATTTTAACGAAAATGAGTAAAATTTCTGAGATTATTCGCAAAAAATAATTGCTTCCTTCGAACTTGAGATTTTTCAAGAGTAACGTGACATTTTGTAAATTGATTTTGTGAAATTACTATTCTTTTTATAAATAAAGATCTTATTACTAAATTAATTGATAGGCTTATGTTAAGAAGAAGATAAGCATAGAAGATTTGTGATTTTTTTATATAGTGTACATTTGTAAAAAGAGGTGAAATTTATTTTGGACTAATAAAAAAAATATCTCATCATGAAGATATTATTCAGTTTGACAGTGATTTTGATTCTTCGACAAGTAAGTGATTGATATTTATTGTTACTAGTTTATTTGAATATATATTGGCAATTAATATTGTCAGAGTGAACTATTGCATTATTCAATATTGCTGCATATAAAATAACTACATATATATAAAAAAATTGCTTTTATATCTCAACTCTACAATAATTACAAATATCAATTTGAATAAAAATTTTTTACATCATATGAAATATGTTTCTTTATTTTTACATCAATTTGTGATTTTAACTATTATATGATTCTGTATATATTATCTACGATTCATTTTGATATTTAATTTTATTATCTATTATCCTATTTAATCTATTATCTTTGATATTTAATCTATTAAGAATATTTTCAATCAATCTGGTTTCGATGTGGAACATTTTCCTATAAACATGCGCACTATAGCTGTAATCGGGACTAACGGCATGAAGACTACATACGTATATTCGCGTGCTTCAGCGGAAATGTTAATTAAAATTCCTCATTGTTCCAGGCCATTGCCGGAATCGTTAGGAAACCGCCGGCATTTTCAACACCAATATACTCGAATTCGTATCTCCCTGCTGCCCTGCAAGTGAGTGACTTTGCTTAATCGTGAGAGATTCTAAACATGCTCTTGCGCGCCCTTCTCATCTCGCTTAGTATAATATTTTACACGGTTAATGTTTCTTTGTTAATTTATTATCACATGTATTCAACCTTCTCATTCCATTTAATAGTTTTTATCTGAAATGTCAGAAACTTAATGAAATTTAATATTTATCATAATATTTTTGTTACGGATAACTTTTTAATCTATATAATACAAGAATAGTAAAAATTTTAAAACAATTCCAATATAACTGTACAATATAAATTTTTTCTCTATAATATAATATAAAGTACGAAGAGATATTATATGGATATATTATATTATATCAAGTTTTTGAAATACAGAAAAATGTCAAAAAAGCGCAGTTATACAAAACCATTTCTAAATTAGGTCACTTTTCACGCGGTTGAACAATTGAAATTACTCCAAACGGAAGAAATATCGCAAGAATCGTTAACTAAATCGCCGACAACTCAATCAATGGTCTATCAACAACCGCAATCGACGACACTCGCGGGAACTTCCATGATTACAACTGCTACAACCACAAAAGTACCTAATGACAAAACAGAAACTCTGGAGATGTTAGCCTCAATTCCGATAAGTCAAACATCGAGTCAAGGATCATCCAAGATTTACGATGATTTTACAGAAGTCACTCAACATGCGGAAACTTCGATTTCAAGTGGTTTGATTGACCATGAAGAGTCACCTGAAGTAAACGAAGAGATGGCTGAAATAAATTATGAATTATCGGCCACACCGGAAACAAATTACGAATTACCGGAACTCGTGCAGGAGGAGACTCCAGAATCGAATCAGGAGTTCCCAGAGAAAAGTGAAGAATTCTCAATCACTGAAAATTCGTTCAGCAAAACATCTAAGGATGAAATTTTGCAGCACGACGATGTATCGCAACAGCAATCGATACAAATTTCTTCTGTCACAAAAGCTATGGATAGTCAGAAAAAGAAAGATCCGACCGTTGATAGTGTTGTAGACGAAATTTACGGAATCGTAAAAACGAGCACTTCTCCATTCAGCGAGGAATCGGATATTATCGACGAATCAAAAAGTGCGACGGGAATTTTGATCGAGAAAATGACCGAGACTATTGAGGATGAAGAAGAAGAAACGAGGTGACAACTTTTTGCATTATAATATCATAATCAGAAAGGATTGTTGTAACTTCTGAAGAAAATTAATAAAATTATATAGGAATTATTTGATATAACTGCTGAAAGAAATGTTTTTCTACATCGCGCGTATTAATATTACATTTAAATCTTATTTAATGTGTCAATTCAAAAAATCTAGCAAAAAAATAATAAAGAATGTATTGTATAATTTAATGTAATTGCGATTTAAAAGAATCTGAGAAAACACGAAGTGTGAAATAAGTACTGACTAGATTTTAAAAAGTTAATATAAAAAACGGTTTTAATAAACTTTTCTTGTGTCTTTACCGTCACAGGTTCACTTTGTTGGGCGAGAAAGTGTCTCAAGTGCCACGGCCAAGTTTGAACAGCTACTTAAAACGTGCCAAAGTGCCAGCCAGACCGGCTCTTCAACAACTGGCGAATCTCTACGATGCTCTCAGCAAGGATGCGCGAAAGCAAGGATTCGCGCGTTTTGCTGGTTATTCGGACGAAGTTTTGAAAACTCTCCATTCATCAGCCGAGGGTGGTGTCGGACCACAGTTGAAGAAGTTGCTAGAAAAAGTAGTAGAGCGGAATGAGCTCACTAGAGATGACGCAAAGATAAAGACATCGCAAGCTCTATGTGATCTCGATGATCCTGCCAGCGCGCTTAACAAAGATTTGAGACGTCTGTTACCTTTACGTTATACACCTTGATTTCTTGACGGAAGGCATTCTTAAATCTTATCTCATCTCCTAAATCTTTGAGAAACAAAGACACAAAAAATTTTCTTTCAACGTAATTTATTTTGTTTATAAAGAAATACTCGTAGTTCTTATATTTTTTACATCTTTACGTATTATTAAAAGAAATTATAATAATGCTTCTTTAGGCTTCAAAAGCCTCCTTTCAGCAATTCAAAAGATACAAAAATTTAATATGGTTTATTAAGAATTTAAAAAAAAAGTTATTTTGTAAACTATTTATATATTGGATATTTTTGAGATATAATTTTTAATGAAAATGTAAGATTTATTGATTGAAATTATTTGTATATTTTCAGCACGAAAAGGATATTGCATGATATTATTTCATAATTTTTATATATCTTTTAATTGACAAAAATTCTATTCTATTTTTAGATTTTTATATTCTAACGGAAAACGATTATAACAATCATCTATAAAACATCTATAACATTATATAATATATATATATAAAAACAAACATATATTTATTACGTGGTATAAATTACATGCAAATGTAATTGTCGATACATTTTTGTATATTAATACTTTTATTTTATTACAAATATTGACAATTTCATGCTCATCACATTTATTCAAAATATTATTTTAATATTTTTATATATATATGCATTTAAATAAAAAGACCGATTTATCTGCAATTTATTTTCAGTATATTTTCGTATTTGATGATGATGGTGTTTCTTCATTATACCATTTCGAAATTATTTTCATTGCTATATCGATAGTATCACCTGAGAGAAAAGTATAAAGTTTATTATATTTCTCACCAAAAAAATTATTAAAAAGAGTAATTAAACAAATATTTATTATTTTATAATATAATATTTTATAAACTTGATATATATAATATTTTGATTTCAATTATCACATCAATCACAGAAAAATCGAAATGAATAATGTAAATTCGTTTAGAGAAATTATAGTAAAAAATGAAGATACCTGCTAATAAAATAAAAGCAATTAATGCCGTGTTTAAAAAAAATCATTAAAAACTTATATACCTTTTGGTTCTACCGGATAAAACTTTGTGGAAAAGGTAAACGGCCGTTCAACTTTGTCAAATATCTTATTATTAATCTCGGTTACGTTGAACTTAGTATTTTCGACTAGTGATTTCTCGAGAGCTTTCAGGAAGAGCTCCCATCTGGGCTTGAAATAATCTGCCATCACTCCTGACCACTGTTTATTCGCATAGTCTCTGATCTCACCGTTTGGTCCCCACAGGGTGATCTGATTTTTCGCATTGTATTCGTAGGATTTCCTTTCCTCCTCGTTGGTGGCCACATCTTTCGCTTGGGATAACCAGGTACCTAGCAGAAAATTACTTCCCGATGCCAGAATGGATTCGAGATCATCGAAAAGTTCCAATAAAGCATTTGCGGATGATCTATAATATGTTAATGTAAATAAAATAAAACTTTTTAAATATAAATTATATTTTAAGAGTTATTATATATATTAATAATCGCGCTATGTTAGAAATTTTGTAGTTTTATTTTAAAACTTTTTTCTATTTTTAATCTTATGAATTCTTATTTTTACTTAATGTGAGGAAATTATATAATATAAAAGTTAAGAAAATAATGTCAGGCATAAAATAAACTATACACTCACCGAAAGGCAGTAATATTTCTTTTTTTATAAGAATCTAATATAATCGTATATAGATCATCGCCCATTAGTTGGAGAGCCTGCCTAGTTATATCAACCACATCATGTCTGTAAAGAGTACTATTTCTTCTACCATGTCTCGCTTTTAAGAACGTATTCCACATAGAATAGAAATTTTTTCGGTTATACCAAATCTATATATGTAAAAAAATCGTTTTATATTATAATTAAGATCTTAATACGTTATGTAATAATATAATATATTTTTTGTCTTGATGTTTAAACTTTATATATTTTTTAATTCATTTTATTTTTTGTTTAATTGTATTTTATTATGTTTGTGTATATTAAGTTTTCGCATTTATTTATCTGTCTGTAGTGGAGAAATACGATTATAGAAAATACTCGATTAATCATATGTGCGTCATTTACAATTTTTAATATATGTCTATACCCATAATGAAATATTTAAACTTGGCCGTCTGGTAACAACATAATGTCCTCTGATTCTTTGTGAACCAATAAAATTGTAAACTGTTCTGCCAAGATATTGCCAAGTAGTCACCGCGTATTCGTTCCATGCGCCATATCTTCGGGTAGCATAATTTTGGAACCTGTCGATCAATGATCTTCCGTCGTATTAATTTAATTAATTAAACGAACTTTTAATTAATGAGCTCTTTGTGTAACTCCGCACAAGCCTGTTCATAGATTATCGAGATACGATAAAGCTTTGGAAGGATACTCCTTCGAGGAAAATTTGTCGTTACACATCAGAACGTGCAAAGGAATTGCATGAGGCACGCATTCTCACCAAGCATCAAGGTCGACGGGTTCGTGACGATATGCCATCTCATTCATTAACTCGTAAATCACGTAGTTCTGATTGATACCCTCAGGTGTCAGACCGGTTCCCACCATTGTACTGCCATTCATATTCCTACCTTCGAATGTGCGCTGAAGAAAGAATAAAGTAAAAATATTTCGTTGTTTATGTTTTATCTAATTCGTTATCTTAACTAAAGATTGTGTGACAGTTTTCTAATTTTTCAGAATTTTCATCGTTATTATAGAATTTACAAAGAAATATTGAATTTATAAGATACATGATAAAATATCTCTTTTTTAAAAAATTAAAAATCCATAAGATTTACGCCCAATCATGTCATATTTAAGCAATGTTTGTTAAAAGTTACATTAAAATTACAAATTAAAGTTACAATTAATTTATATTTGTTACACATTCTCGAGAAATATGAAACTATTGTAATGCAATTGTTTTTTGAGAAAATTAATTGATGAAAATTACAGAAAAAAATCAGAATTGTTTCAAAGAAATTATATTCTTTAAATTCCGTATTGACAATGCGAGATCATAGTGTGCTATAGATGAAATATAACAGAGAAAAATCGAACTCTTTTTAATGAAGGAAGAGCGATTTAAGAAAAAATTACAAATTTCCTACATACTTGATTAATGATTTGTGCAGATCCGAACATTCCCAAGGTGCCACCAAAGTTGTGTAGCATACACCAGATAAACGGTTGACCATAATATGATTTTAATCGGCCGTATTGTGGAAATTGTTCCGATTGCAAATCCAATATTAACATTCGTCCCTACACATATGTGCGATTATTTTTGCATTTTAAAGTAAAATGATTTTATGATTATTGTAATATATATCGTCATACATAGATTATTTTTTTATTCAGAGAATTTAAAGGAAACATTAAATAGCATTATTTTACGTTCTCGGAACTTTATTTTTTATATTCTGAATATATGCTTAGCAAACACATTAAACTAACATTAAATTGATTGTATCATATTATATGAATATTTTATACATTAAGAATAAAACATACAAGATATATTTATTTTGCCCTTTTGCAGAAATTACTCGTTTATGCATTATTATACTAACTCGACGTGTTTACTTATCAACAAAGTACGATCAATATTTTTTCTATTAATAATCCAAGCTTACCATAGGTACCGAGGTCAAAAAGGATTTCACTCTAGGCTCTGTCCAGAACATGAAATCATGCACGAACAGCCAAGCTTGCATCAACCTTGAAAAACACAATATAATATGTATTTTATATAAGAACATAATTATTATGTACATTTAAATAAGATCTTGAGTCCAAAATCTAATTTTGAATAGCAATGTAAAATATATTGAATTGTTTGTCTTAAAATTAACTTTTATTAATCTACTTACCATATCGCTTTAGAATCGACCGCATTTATAGCCGCAAAAACTGCATGGCTAACGTTTCTCAAGTAGATAAGTTCAGTGCTACCAGGTTCGTTTTCATTAAATGTGTCGCAATTGTAAATGTGATCGGTACCAAATTCATTGATATACTACAATGAATTATTTATGTATCTCTGTCTCGTTAGTTGTCTCTAATATTTTAACTTACCATTCGTAAGAACTTTTCTCCAATGATTTGAAATAGCGGGTCTGTCGGTTCCAACAGATATGGACTGAAAACAAAAATTTATTACTTAATTAAATACAATTTTTTGCTTTGAGCATATTTCTATGATAAATATGCAATAATTTTATCTATAATTTCAATGTTTCTATTAATTGCATTTATATTTGAATGATCGCAAAACGCAACATCTTGCATTATAATAAATCACTTTTAAGATTATTGGAGAAAGAAAGAGATAAAAATGATACATATACATATAACAAGATTTTTTTGATCGTACCAACAATATTTGTCTTCGAAATTGTTCCAAGGATTAATTTTCGTCATATTAGCATTTGGAAAGAGTCTGGCGAAAGCTCGTGGCACATGACCAGCGAAAGCTGGTAGTACTGGAACGATTCCGAGATTTCTCATTCTTCGAAGAATCTGATGTTGTAGATGTATGGTACGATTATGCCAATTTGTTGATAATGGTCCACCAAAGCCACGAATATTGCCCATTCTTATCCTAAAGTACCACAATAAATATATTTTACTTTCTGCATAAAAGATTTAAAAATAAATGAATACTCTCGATACCAGGGTAAGAAAGCAGGACCACCCAAATGCTCATCGATTTCTTCTTTTGTGAGATTCAATTCTTGATACAATCTTTGCCAGATCGCTTCTTGCGCAGTAAAAGCGAGAGCAAGATTAATTCCATTAAGAGCCATCCAATCGATATTTCTCTCCCATTGCTTCCATTGCCACCAGGTCGAGCTATAGCCCACAGTGCACACATTCTGATAATATCTGAATCTGAAAGAATGAAATACTGTAAATATACATTGGAGTAAAATCAGATATCGAACTATTAAGAATGAAGTTTTACATATCATATCACCTATCGTTAGATGTAATTTTAATTCGAACTTCCGGTAATGTATTAGGTAGAGTAATCTGTGTACCATCCCACGATATATGAACATTACAATAATTCTTCAAATAATAATGCAAACCCCACGTGATCGCTACTCCAGAAGTACCACGAATTTCGATTTCACCTAGAGGATTTTTTGTTACCTGAATAAAGAAATAAATCAACAGTATTGGATTATTTTTCTGTGTAAATAAATATTTACATTATAAACGAACATATAATTGTATTCGAAAATAAATGTTGCACCTTGAAAGTATCTTTGTCGATGGGACCCAAATCGGTATCTACCATCATAATAAATAATTTGGATATCTCTTTGCCCAATAGTCTTTCGGCTACATCTTTAGCTGCTTTTGCTTGAATTTCTGGCGAAGTGTGTGATCTTATATGGCCTAAAGTAACCTGAAATGCTACTCATACTTTTATCTCATACTTTCAGCCATTATGAGATTTTGAGTACTATTTTGAGGAAAGAGTGAGAAAATTATTGCAAACAGATAAAGAATGCTAAAAGCATTGATTGAATAATTTATTTGACTACATAATCATCTATATCTATATCATTATATCTATATTTTAGATAGTTTTTTATATTTATTTTATTTTACAAAAAAAAAATAAATTTTACTTACCGTCCGACTTGTAACATTGACTAGACGGTACAAACAATCCAAATATTATAATAGCTAATTGTAACCATAATGCTACAGTAGTAATATCCATTTTGATAAACTCCAACACAGCGACTGACGCGCATAAAAGTAGGGAGACAGAAAGAGCGTGATCATACGTTGGAGCATATTAACACATCCCTACTCTTATTTCTTATCTGATCAGACCAAAACAACCAATGACTCTCGACGATACAATTGCATTTATAAAACGGTCGCATCAGCATTAATAAACACTCACTCTCGCTCATCATTCACAATGGAATTATTTATGAATTATTTATGAAAAGCACCAATTGTGTGATTGTTTGATTTTATATTTATTTGTGCATATTAATAATTATAAATAAATCAAGTTACGTAAATCAAGAAACATATGCTTAGAAGTAATTAAATATTATAGATTATATGAAAGGCAGACGCGATTGATCGTGCGTTAATTTTACAGAAAATTAATTTATTCCTATATGAAACTGATTTTTGTGCACAGGTCACGAATTCTTCTTGGTTAAACCAAGCTAAATTTAAAATCTCTAATACCTCTCTTACCCCCTGCGATTTAAAATTTAGCTTGGTTTAACCAAGAAGAATCCGTGCACAAAAATCAGTTTTACAGAAATCAATTAATTTTTTGTAAAACTGACACACGACCAATCGCATCTGACTCTTATAGCCTATGATATTTAATTATAATTTCACACAGAGAGCCTTACTATCTTCTTTATATGCTTAGAAATATGATATGTGTTACCAAACACAAACTTTAAGATTATCGTAAAACAATATGATAGGGATAAGATAGTTAAAAAAATAATTTCTGTTATCTTTAATATATATATATATATATATATATATATGTGTGTGTGTGTGTGTGTGTGTGTGTGTGTGTGTGTGTGTGTGTGTGTGTGTGTGTGTGTGTGTAGATTATTATATTATAAAATCTCTTATTTATTTCTAATCTAATTATTTTTGTAATACTTATGCATAATATAATGTTTAATAAGGAAAAGAAAAATTATGAAAATTCTATTCTTAATGTCTAAACAGAAATTAAATTAAAGTATTTTAATTTTATAGATATAAGTATTGTGTGTATGTGTGTGAAGCAGATAATTGAAAATTATGATTTTTCAAAGATTAAATAGATATTAAATCCACAGAATGATTTTGCAAAGATTAAATAGATATTAAATCTACAATAATAGATAAGAAATATCTATTATTTAAATATCGCGAAATGGCTTAACTTTTTTACTTATATCTATGATTAAATTAATCTCTTTTGTGACATTTAATTCCATTGGATATCTTCATTAGTGTCATATTAGAAGTAAGGCCTTATAATTCTATAAATTTTGAAATATTTTTGTTATTTTATTTCTATAGTAGGACATTTCTAATACAGCTGGAAGAAAGTTTAAGAAAACTTATTTATTTAGGCATCTGGTTTGATATGTCATAATATTGATGTTAATTTGATATTTTTATCAATATTATTAAATAATATAATATAATACTATTTTTATATGATTTATATATTTCTGTTAAATGAAATTAAATTGCCAATATGAGATATAGTATTATCGATAAGATTTGGTAAAATTTGAAATAAAAGATTACATTCATTTACAAAATTTATTCAATGTAGAGATTAAAATGCGTATGATATATATGTGTGTGTGTGTGTGTGTGTGTGTGCATATACATACACAGAGTGTCCCAAATCATCCGTATATAATACATAAATATACACAAATGAATAATATATAATACATAATTTATCATAATTTATCGTAACTGTTACAAAGTGCATAATTATTCATTTCAAAAATGCAATAATATTTAAGATACATTTATTTTTTATAATAATTCTTTGTAAATAATAAATTGTTATCGCACGATTTGAGTGCTAACTGATATTATCTTAATGTAAGATTACTTTTGTAATTTAACAATATGCAATTAATTATCTTTGTGATTGACAGTACCTAATAATTCTAAATCTTTATGTGTGGAAAATAGTTGACTCAAAGCAGGAAGATAGTAATCAGGATAAGTATCAATGTCTTTTTGTGCCTCTTCCAGAGTATCACTTCCTGTACCGACCAAAAGTTTTTTAAATCCACACATAGAGGCAAATCTCATATCCTGATTAATCCTAAATTTATATATATATAAATTAATAAAATGTTTTTTTCTGAGAAATCGATATTCAAATCATATGGATGTATAATATATACATGCATACATACATACATACATATACATATATATATATACATATATACACATATATATAATTTTTTAATTTGAATAGCGTAAACGTCACAAAGAAAAATATAATAAATTGAAGAAATTTATTATATGTTTACTCACGTGTCACCAATGAACAAACATCTTTGTGGATTGGTCACGTTGCATGTATTTAAAACATAATCTTTTAAAATTTCGCTGGGTTTGGCACATAAAATCGGTTTTTTTCCGCTTTGTGCGCTAATAAAATGCACGAACGGTCCAGGACCTGATTATAAGAAAAACATTTTTTTGGTTTAGAAATATACACACATAAATACACATATTTGGAATAGAAAAAAATATTTTTATACAGAATATATTTCTTTTATATTCCGTTATATATAGCAAAACTTATATATATACACATGTGTGTGTGTGTGTGTGTACGAGGTCTGTAAATAAAGTAATAAGACTTTTTCCAGATAAACTTTTATTTATAATTTAACTATAATTTAACTCTGTCTCCTTCAAAATAGTTTCCTTGGGAAACCACGCAGCGTCTGAGACGTTGTTTCCAGTTTTCATAGCAGTGCTGGAACTCAGAAATCTGAATAGCCTTCAGCTGGTCGGTTACAGCCGCTTTTACGTTTTCAAAGTGATGTCCTTTGAGATGAGTTTTCAATCTCGGAAAGAGAAAGAAGTCACAGGGACTCAGGTCAGGCGAATGCGGGGACTGGGGAACGACAGAAATGTTTTTCCGTGCTTTCGATTACGGAGTTTTGGCAGAAAGCCAGCTGAAGGCCATTCGGGTTTTTGAGTTCTAGCACTGCTATGAAGACTGAAAACAACGTCTCAGGCACTACGTGGCTTTCCAAAGGAATTATTTTGAAGGAGACGGAGTTAAATTATAGTTAAATTATAAATAAAAGTTCATCTCGAAAAAGTCTCATTACAATATATATATATATATATATATATATATATATATATATATATATATATTGAGGATTACAAACAATTAATAAGTAAGATAAATGTTTTTATATTAAAAAAAGTTTGCGTTATTTATGATAACAATATTACACAATGTACCTACCTAAGATCTTTAGTTTAGAAGGTACTGGTTCTACGTGTAACCATTCTTCCGTTGTCCCTGCTATATACAACACATCCTTACGTTTGAGGCATGATATTGCCAAAGCTAGTTTTGACCAATTGCATTTACTATCAAAATCATAAATTACTGCTTTCACGGATGGTCGATCCAAGACACTTTTTACGGTTAAAGATGGTTTTCCATCGTAAACTTTTGGCTAAAACAAAAATTAAATTTAATCTGTTGTCATAAATTTCGCATAGAATTATATTCAAATCAGAATTTTCGGATTGGTTAGCTTTCAAATTAACGTATCAGTTGATTTAATATTATTTGTATGAAACTATTAATTATATCGTGAAAAGGTAAAAAACTTTTATTTATTTACTTACTTCCTCTTCTATTATTCGTATACCTGCTTCTTTTAAAGCATTCCGTGATTCATCCGAAACCATGGCGAAAACTTCGTCACGAAAATCAATTTTATTCAAATACCAGATAATTACTTTGACAGTATTAACTATATCATCCTGTAATATTAAGTGTCATTTATAAAAATACTAATTTCAAAATTTTTTATTTTATATGAATATGCTATACGTTTATTATAATTACTATTTCTCATAGTATAACAGTCTTGATATTTTAAAAATATTTTAATGACTTACATATATATATATTCAGAATTTTAATGACTTATATATATATATATATATATATATTCAGAGAAAAATAAGGATGTATGTGGGAGGAGGTGTTTACGCCCATTTGATCAACGAGCGACAAACTACATCTGTGGCAATGGCATTGACGTATCCTGTGAAGAGAGCATTCACACATTTTTCACTCTAACGAATAATTGCTAGAAAACAATATTCGGAGAGTAGAAAAATATGTGAGGCGCAAATGGCTGGATCGGGAATCGGAATCTTTCGCTTTCCGAGTAATTGTTCTAGACCACTGAGCTATCCAGACCTCACACTTAATGTTGCTTTTTAATACAGTGATATGTGACTCCAGAGCGATGTTGATATCTCACTCGATGGATGCAATGCCGATTGTCATGGAAGATCTCTGAAAGGTCGCTCGCTGACCAAATAAGTGGAGGTATTCGCGTGCATGCTGGTCTTCCGTATAAAACGGTACTGACGATCACAATGCTGTAGAGTGATCACATCCCCTAAGATCCCTTTAGTATATACTAAAATCTCAACTGTATCAAATAATAATGACCCTAAGATAGGACCGGGACAAGTCTCCAGTAATATATATGAGAATATTTATCTATTATTGAATAATAAGACTGAGATGATATGAGGTGCATTTTAATATACATATGGATTATAATTCTTGTAATTACTATTATCATACGTTAGTATCTTATTGAATTATACTACATAGATTAATTATAAATATAAAAATAAATTGAATATAAGAATATGTTTTAAACATTTGTTTTTATATTTATGTAAATTGTATGTAATATATTATGTAAATATTTATGTAATATTTAGACATAAATTACAATATTTACGCAATTTTAATAGTTATTTAAGTCATAGATTGTCTTTTTAAATAGAAAGATTCGTAATAAAAGAAAAAAATTTATTGATTTAAATTCCGTGTACACATATAAAATAATTATTAGATAAACCGAAAAAATGGAAAAAAAGACATTGCATACTTACTGGAGTCAAATACAAGCAAGCACATCGAGCTCTGTCACAATAAGTTTGATCCTTATTCTCGCTATTATTTGTAACTAGATATATCTTCTTTCCCAATTTTTGTAATATTGCTAAAGATTCGAAACCACCCTCAATAGGATTATTTAAGTGCCACACGACTCCTGGGAAATACATATTATTAATTCAGGTTTTGTATCTAACTTTATATTAAAGAGAAGATTTTTAATTAAAATTTTTTGTTTAGTGCAATATATATATTCATTAAATCAAGTAATTTCTTTTTTGTTTCTCAAATAATTTCTTTTTATTTTTTATGGTTATCAAAAATTTATCAAACATTTGCAAATGTTCAAGTTAGATAAAACCTATATATAATTTAGAAAAATATATCTGTATAATCTTTAAGATTAAAGAACGAACGTTACAAAGGCACGCGCAGTACAAAATAATCAAGAGGTCAAACAATTAAATTAAAACGGTCGACAATCGAATGTAATGCAAAGATAATAAAAGGGTAATAACGTTGAAAAACAAAAAGCATTTGTACAAAAAGATAAAATAAAGATAAATAAAAATATATGCATAAAAATATACATATATGCATGGCGATGAAATATTAAAACGAATAGCACAATGCTCATCTCGATATTAAAATCGTTAAAAAATCTATAGATTGTTTCGTATATTACAGATTTTATAAAACTTTATGTGCATCATGCACGAATCGGAAAGTAGGGAAGGATAACACGAGAGTCAGTTCTTAAATAATATTTTCTTTTAGCAACCAGATAAGTAAAAAAAATAAAATATTACATAATTCATTAAACATTTGTTGCATAAATACTGATAATGTGAAACCATCGATAAATAATACATAATGAATATATAAATATTAACAATGAATATAAGATATTCAGTTTGTAACGTTAGAAATTTAAATTTAAATCAATAATTATTTACGTTCAGTTTTGTTTAACCATTATTATATAATATATTTTATTACAAAAATTATTATATTTTTAGTTAATATTTATAAAATTAGTTTAAGAATAATTTTTATGTATATTATACATATATATAATTATAATTATAAATAATAGTTTAATCAATACAATTATTTTTAATACATTTGAATATAAAATATATAAAATATATTATATATATAGTTATATAGTGTTTTCTTTGAAGAAACTATAAATTTAAAAAGAATATTTAAAATAGTAATATCTTTTTCTTTTCATAGTTGCTATTAATTTATTACATTATTATATTATCAAAGATACATTCAGTGTATTTAAAAAATAAAAAATTTTTTTATACCTATGTATAATATATATGTAATTATAAATAAGTAAAAATATTTTAATGTTTTAAAAATTATTCTTAAATTAACAAAAAATGTAATGATTCTTTACGTAAAATATAATATAAAAAAATTGATGTGCAGACTTCAACGTGAATCTCCAGAGTAGATTGAACATCTTACACTTTACCATTACGTATTACTCATGTACCAGTGTTTATGTGTTTATATGATATTGATATAAAAAATATTATTATTAGTCTATGAAACTATGATGATGGTTGATAAAAAATATCAAATAAAATATGATAGCATGTTATTTCTCCATTCTGCTAACATATAAAATATCGATAATATGAGAAAGCAATAAATTACCAAGTCTAATAAGCATCGTCTTACATATCATATATTTATTTATCCTGTTAGCTATAAATCTATTATTTAATATATAATATTTAATCACATATATAATTTACATTATAATTTATATATATATATATATATATATATATATATATAAATTATACAATTCACATTAATAAAATAAGACATTTTTTGTTTATAATTGTCATTTGTTCATTAAAAAACATTTGCTGCAAAACGCGGCTTTTCTGTAAAAAAATTGCATTTTCACAATTTTCCCCAGTGTTTGGACAATTTTAAGCTTCATTTTCGAGTTCAGCAGATTCAAAAACATAAAGATATACTGATTTCATACAATCCCCTTACAGACAAATTTTGGCTCTTTTTCAGCATTGTTCTTTATGGTTCATGAAATATATATTTCCTCTGATATATATATCAGTGAAGATATATATTTCGAATTTTTTTCATTAGTGTATAATTTGTATTAAATGTTGTGTAATTTTTGTATTAATTGTTACTCACCATCGATGTCGGATAGAACTATGTCGAAAGACGTTAAAAACTCTTGCAGTTTTTCAGCCGAGAACTTGCTAAGATCCTTGGTTTTTGACATAATGAATATATTTTTAAACACGTTTGATAGTGACGTTACTTTTACTTCTGACTGCTGCTAACCGCAGATTGGCATGGAGCGAAAAGAATATGCTTTCAACTACCGCGCTGGAATCGGTTTTATAGCCGTTATTCTGTAACTTTTTAATGCATATACTAGAGTTATAACGCATGCGTTATAGCATAACATATGTTTTACGTATAATATGTAAATATCCAACAATAGTCCAAGGTAAATCCATGAAACGTAATCTAAATGCAGATTTATTCATAAACATAATTATTCTTTTTTTTATCATTTACGTCGAAGTATTTTATTACCGAAATAGCAATGTAGATTTTATGTGGATATTTCTACTGAAATTATGATTGATCGATCAACGTCCCACTCGGCATGTAATATTATTAAAATATTGTAATATTCAGAGATATTTCATTAACATTTTTTAATTGTAACTTTGATATATTCTGAAATATTTCAGAAATATATCTGCATCATATTTTTTATAGTATTGTATTTGCTTATTTCTGAAATTTTTCAGCAACGTTGCATTTGAAATGGTTGCAAACATTGGAACATTGCAGAAGTTTTGCATAAACGGTCATGAAATATTTCTGTAATACTATTGAAAGGTATAATATTTCAAATGAAATATGACAATGTTTCAGTAATATCACATGCTAAATGGGAAGATGTTTTGATATATAAATAATATATTTTCCTATATTTTATATTAGTATTTATATATTTTATTATATGTCTCTATATCAATTTAATAATACTTAAAATAAAATTTATGTTATATATGCAATTTCTTATATCATTTTTTTAATTAAAATTATTTTCTTAATTTAAAACCTTAGATATACTAAAAAAATTTTTGGATTATAAAGCAAGGAATTCATGTAGATATTATGAGGATATTATAAAAATAATTATGTATTGATTAAATGATTGTTTATAATTGTAATTATATACAATTATATACATATAATATATATATATATATATATATATATATATATAAGTATAAATAAGTAAAAATATTTGTAATGTTTTAAAAATTATTCTTAAATTAATTAACAAAAAATGTAATAATTTTTGTAATAAAATATATTATATAATAATTGTTGAACAAAATTACTGAACGTAAATAATTATTAATAGAATAAAAATATAAATAAGTGGATATATATATATAAATAAATATATAAAAATAAAGAATAAATAAAATAAATATTATATACCTATATATAATATACATGTATAAATACTTGTTTATTTTATTTGTTTTTTATTTTAATATATTTATTCACATGCACATTCAACAATTCAATTTATTCATGTACATATGTTCTATAAATTAATATTCATAATGCGATGTATTACATTACGAATACGATTATTGAACGATGTCAAACAATAACTATCATTATCCTTGTTCCTTTACCATATCAATATTGCAGAGAAACAAAGATTTAAAGCCGAGAGAGAGAAAGAAAGAGAGAGAGAGAGAGAGAGTGAGAGGGAGTGAGGGAGAAGGTGAGTGAGGTGAGAGGGGGCGGGAGGGCGAGGGAGGGAAGGGAGAGAAAGAGATATTTTTCTCTGGCATTATCATTCAACAGTCATTCCGTGTACGCAGTATATTGGTGTTTATACCAACACAGACATTACATATATACGAAGTGCAAGAGAGACAAAGATAATCTCTCCTTGTCAAGCTGTCAGTATGTTAAATACTGAATATTTTCCCATGAACTGTTCCTTAGATGTAAATCAAATAATATTCGTAAACATATTTTTCTTTCTGGACGAAATGATATTTTTCTACGAACTTTTTTTTTATAAATATTTATTATGCAGATCACCACGGAATCGAATTTTGCATTTCGGCTCTTAAAAATTTATAATAAATTTATAAAAAATTTATAAAAATTTATAATAAAATACACGGACGATACCTAACTGCACCTGATCCGTGAGTAGCTGCATAGTTCTGCACGTAACTTGAAAATTCATTTTGATCTTTACCAAAAAATGAGCAATGTAGCGATCTACGGACAATCCTATCGATTACAAATATTATAATTTTAATATGATTCTTTCTGTATTTTGGCCACAATAATGCCTTTGTAAATTTGTAGTTCCGGGCTCTCTGTTATGCCTCCTGTCGATTCTTAATACAAAACATAATCAGTATTGCATTAAACAAATGTTAATTTTGCGTTCAGCTTATATTACTATAAAATCATATTCTCCAAGTTTTTTAACGCAATTTGTAACGTATTTGTAACGCAAACATAGATTACAGAATATCATTTTTGACTAAAATGCTATGCGTTATGGAATAAAACAAATTTTATTAGCGAATTTATAATACTAAAAGTTACAGAATAGGGTTTCTGACCTTTATTCTCGATAACTATGACAGTTCGATATCATCTTTTGCACATCAGTTTTTTATTAACCCATTTGCATCATTAGTGTATATATACGCGCTTTTTTCCTGGCCACTATCACCGAAGCGTACATATACGCGCAATTGTTTTGGTCATTTTTACCTAACTAGAGTGCATTGTTTTCTTACATGACATTATAAGTTGGCGTGAATAATTTAGAATTATTTGTACCGAATAAAGTAGTATAATATAGTATAAAGTAACTATAACTATAAAAGATAGAGCGTTCATGTCTTCAAATAAAAGTTAGCAGAAGAAATCATTGAGAAATCATTGAAAAATATATTAAAAAAATAAAAATATCACAAAAAAGATGAAAAGTTACATCATGTCCATCACTATCATCAAGATTTACTGGTCAACATTTTCCAATTCAGATTGAAACAATTTCATCGAGGAAAGCTCAAAAGCGTTATTACAGCTCAAAAGCGTTATTACAGTTTATTTATACAAAAAGAGAGAAGAGAAACAATTTATCAGCGGTAATTGCCAAGTAACTACATGCATTGACCATTTTAAATTCTATCATATAGTACAAAACAGTGTGGATTGTTCTCGTCAAAATCAACATTTGTAGTTATATGTACATAATAATTTCTTTGAGACTCCTTTCATCTTACATAATTATTTTTTTAATTTTTTCATCCTTTTATATTACAGAGCATGGATTCTTATCATAAAGTAATCGACATATGACACACGACACATTCTTATTATGAAGTGATCAATACATACATCAACTTCTTTCTCCATTTTATCTTTTACAAATTATTGGAAAATTAAGTTTTTAATACTTTTTGTAATGTTTCTAAATCTAATTTAATAAAAAAAATTTGGTAATAAGGGACTATTTTTCATTTTTTCGTATGATGTAAATGGGTTAATCAAAGAAGGTTTAATCTTCTCTCAATAGTTTGCCCAAAAGAAATGCGTTTCATATAAAAACAGTTTTATAGCTTTTTGGGGGGTGTTGATTTCTAAATTATTATCAAAATTTAAATTCAAACTGACAAATTCAAGATAGTGGCCATGAAAAGCTGAAATGTCGATATATTTAAAATATGAACTTTTATATTTTTGAATATTATGTTTTTTTTTAATATACACGCTCGATTCGCGGCGTTACACATTTTTTTTGCAGGTTGCGCATTCGTTTGCCGCGACACTCTTTCGAATCCATCGCATGTGTCGTCTTATTTCGCGCACACTTCGATTACACATATTATAATATTTATTATAATAAAGTTATAATCAAATTAAGACTTTAAGTATATAATTAGCATATCAATTTTTTGGTTTTCGACATATACGGTTATTCTTCACTACAAGTTTGTAATTCTTCTTCTCTAAAAGTTTAATTTTTTGTTTAATAATTATATTTAAATAAGTTAATATTAATTATATTTAAAAGTTTAAATTAATTTTATTTTGTCGTAAACATTACATCTTAACTCTACATTGCATGTAAAAAATTATATTACATATGAGAAGAAATTCTATTATTATTATTTCAATTTATTTTTATTTAAATTTACTCTCTCCACATATTTAGCGCTATATGATTTACAAAAGCTTAAGATTTTAGAATTAAATAGTACTAATAGAATTAAATAGAATTAAAATCAAATTATTTTGTTACCTTGCAATTATTATTCTTTGTCAAGTTTTTCCGATTCTCTCTTTACTAATAGATCTTATTTCATACGTGATGCGAGACTTTTTGAATCGGTTGAACTTCCTGAGGCTGCTTATAAAGACTAGTGACTTCACTACATTATTTGAATAATTATCAAAGGCATAAGTATAAAGGTGATTGTGAGTATTCGATTTATCTTTTCCGTTTATCTATAAGACCGTAGACATCGAAGCATCTATCTTTGTATTGATAAGTAATGTTTTGCAATATTTACATTTATATTTATCTATTTACATAACGTCATAGATGTATTTTGTCAGTAATGAATTATCTTTTTGCCAAATCAAATTACTACAGATTACAGATTTACGAGTACTTGCGCATACTATAGTACATCAATACTCTTTATTAAAGGAACGATATAAGCTTTAATATGTCACACCGAAACCGAAACATATTAAGAAACATGTTAAGTAGAAAGGCATTGTTGGAAGAGGTCCAATAGCAGAAAAATAGACGAGGCAAGAAGAAAGAAAAGATTAAGATGTATCGGGAGTAAAGGAGAAAGAAGAGGTAAGAAAAGATTAAGATGTATCGGAAGTAAAGGAAAAAGAAGAGGAAATAAAAAGCTGCGGAGAAAAGAGGAGAAAGAAAAGAGAAAAACGACAAAAAGAAGAAGAAGAAAAACGAGGAATAAAGAGATCTGAAGAGAAATAAAGAAAAAAAAAAGCTGCAATTAGGAAGACGAAGAAAAGAGAAGAAAGAAAATATACAGAGAAAATAGGCAAAAAGAAGGAAAAGAAAGAAAGAAGAAAGAAAAAAAAGGAAGAGGAAAGAGAAATTGAGGAATGGAAAGAGGAAAGCTGAGTCAGAAGAAGCTAAATAGGGAAAGTTTGAAATGTGGAAATCTGAGAGAGAAGAAGTCAAATGAGGATAAAGGAAAAAAGGACTACTAGGAGAAATTAGATTAGAAGAGTTAGAAAAGGAAATGAGGATTGTTACAGAATAAGATGAAATGGCAATAA